CCCAGCCAGCATGCTGGCTGGGGAATTCTGGGAGTTGAAGTCCACCCATCTTAAAGTGGCCAAGGTTGAGGAACACTGGCCTAGATTCCGGGGGAGATGGGATCAGTATTGCAATATGTAAGCACAGCAAGCTGCTGCAATCATTTTCTTCTGCTGTCTCCTGCAGTTGGCATTCAGAAGTATGGGAAGCTCCCCTGACAGAGAGTGGTACCAAACCACAAACTAGTGCAGGCAAGCAAATGGAGCCACACAGCCATTTTCGATACATAGGCACAGGTAAGGCCCAACATGCTTCCTTGTGATTAGCTGAACCCTGGTTTAATTTAAAAAACCCAATGTCAGCACAGCATGGTAAGCTAAAATATGGATGGCTACTTTGGGGTTCAGTGGGGGGATCATGTGAACCCAGCCATTAATCACTTCTGTTACATGCATTCAGAGCAGAGTATCCACCTCTCCAAGCTGAACTCACAGCAGATCTTCATTTTTAGTTATCGGTGCCTTTTCAAAAGGAATGTTGTATGAGCCATAAGCCAGAGAAAGTCATCCTGTACTTTGAGCACAATAACTTATATTTCACCGCTAGCACACCACCAAAGCCTTCCCTATAGAAGCGTAATAAAATTTAAAACATTACTGTTTTGTTTTTATTTTAGAACGCTAGGAAATTATGATTTCTGGAAGAAGGGCCTGCAGAACTACATTTACGCTTTACTACAAGTGTCCATGGAAATGCACCTCAATCATATACTATGAATATATTTGAATATGTGTCAGATTAAAGCACGCAGCAGGGCTCATATTGCCAATCTGTTCACCCAATTTTTATTGATCAGTATTGTATCAATAGAAACATGATGTACAATTCTTTCCTCATTTCATATTTGCTGTTGTTGAGTGATGGTAATTTGCCCAAGGCTATCAAGTGAGCATCATCATGAGGTGAACACCTGTCCTGACATTGCAAAATCCACCCATGAAATGTTCTCTCCTGAAGGAATTGGCAGGCACCTTAAATATATGATCATATATGCATCTGTTTCTTACAAATTCTCATAGTGGAAACTTGCTAACCGGGAATTCCAGTTTCCATATATGCTGTAACAGTCAGAAAGCTATTTTGGAACCATGCATTTATAATATACAAGCTCAATTTCACACAAATCTGCTTTATCTACAGGGATGTTGTAACCGGTGAAAACACCCTGAGTGGAGAATTAAACTCCAACCTTTATAAGAAGGTGAATCTGTAGAAATACAATTTTAGTTGAATAAAACCATAGGATTAAAAAGGGAATGAGACTGGAACCAAGAAAAGTTTGGCTGATCTGAGGGTCTGAGCCATCAAGACAGGTTAACCCTACACAATAGACTTTCATATCACATGGTATGCCTAAGCAAATAAAACTTACGGTTTAATGTGATAGTCTATTGGCTGGGTTCCCACAAGATGCTGAACCACAAATATCATAACCCCCTTTTAGCCCAGGCCGTCCTCCGTGATACGGTAATAAGGGAAAGGGACAGACGTCATAGCCCTCCCCTTCTTGATTTCAGTGGCAAGGCAGTGTCTCCCTCTGAGCATTCCGAAAGAGAAGACGAGGGCAGCGTGCGCTTCGATTCTGCACCGTGCCTTTTACGGGCACAATTGAAAGTGGAGGTAGCCGCGGAATAATACAAGGAAGGAAACATGAGAAGCCAAGCTACCTAAAGAGACACACACCTCTCAGGGCTCGGTCCAAAGCGGTGGTGCATAGTTTCGAGAATCATTACGGGGCGAGGCAGAAAATGTGCCCACCTTCCACGGATCTGACTTGACAGCACCCGGAGACACATTCTCCTCGGATAAAGCAGCTTTGCTCACCCCATACTTTGGATTTCAAATGGCACAGGCGATGAGGTCTGTAGGACAAGGTATGTGGAAGGTCCTCGACTGGGGAAAGATGCCTCCACCAATCAAGGACGATATCTAGGTTTCTTTTTGTCAGGAGCCTAAGCGTGAGTTCCCGGGCTGCCTGCTCCGCAAAAGCATTCCAAGCCCTGGAACCTCCAAGCAGATCCCCACCCACTCCGGCAAATCTGTCCTAATCCGCCCGCCACCCGGAGGCTCACGGGGATTTTAGAAAAGCGCCCCCCTTCCAGCTCCATCCAACCGCGTTGGAGGAGATTCCAAGGCACTCACCTCCGCGGAGAACGCCAGCATCGCAAAGGAGCACCAACTCCGTTGGAAGCCAAGGAAGTATCTGACGCCTTTTGATTGGGCAAGTCCATCCAGTTCGTCATGGGTTCCTCCTACGCTGGCGGCCAGTCCCTGCCTCTGAGAGGCTGAGCCGCGCTGTCCATCACCGGGGAAACCCTCTCGAATCCAACCAACTTCGCGGCACATGACAAGCAGGGCACGTTCGTACCTACCATTCTTGTCTCGGCGTTAGTACGGCGTTGTTACCAGCGCGGAAAGGGGATGGGCAGGTGAGCACATCTGCGCGCGGAAATCTGCCGGAGGGTTTTCTCCAGGCCCACCAAGACGCACGCGCTCTGAGATTGCTGTACAGTATTTCCCAGGCTCTTTCGCTCGCCCGGTTGGAGTTAGGTTTACACATGCGTGCTTTGGCCGCTCTCTTCTATAGGAGGTAGGTGCAGAGCCTGGCGCTGGTCTTTGGCCCCCTGAGGGAGAGGAGGAGACCGTGTGAAGGCTTCACGATATTTCCCTCCATAGGCGCAATATATGGCGAGGATTTCAGGAGCTTTTGTGAATCCGATTCTGGATAGCTTTCTGTCAGTTCTGGGGACTGGGCCTTCCTTGAGCAATAATAGCCTGTGACTTCGTAGGCAGTTTGATTATTGATTAAAGGCAAGACTACTGTTAGATCTGTAGAGGTTACGGTTTCTTCCACCAAGCCTTCTCAGTCAGCTCTTAAAAAGAAAAATGCTCTCTACAAAGAATAGTTGGAATTGCTTAGATTTAAAGAACTGTTCTCCCAGACTTGCCTGTAATGAATGAACTAAAGCAGTGTTTTTCAAACTTGGCAATTTTAAAATGCGTGGACTTCAACTCCCAGAATTTGTGGGAGGTGAAGTCCACATATCTTAAAGCTGCCAAGTCTGAAAAAGTGATGAACTAAGCTAGGTAGATTCATTTTGAAGTACTGCAGCATACAAAACTGTGCATACATAAATGGGAAGATTAACTGAGAAGTCCTAATGAAAGGTAGGGCACCTGATTGTTTCCAGCCAACTAGTACAAAGCCATCCTCAGTGTGATGGGTAGAGTGGGTGGGCTTGCACTTCAGCCTGCTGCTTTCATGGGATGTTGCCCTGTGCTGTTTTGGAAAATACAGGCCTTTGGGAGTAAAGGGGTCATTTGTTGGCACTGTATGTAGTATTCCTCTGGTGTCGATGGGAACCAAAGAGTGCGAATGCTGGGGGCTGCCTTCTGTGTTGCTCAAAACAAGTTTCTGAGCACTGAATGAGTTGCGTTTCACAAAATGCTTCCCCGATTGCTCCCTCTGGCCCTTTCTGTCGGTGGGTTGCTTTCAGATCTTGACAATTTGATCTGTGATTCATTTAGTCTTGTATGAACAAGAATAATTCACTGTGTTTTTTGTCCTGCAAAGTACAAGCCAGAGTCCTTGGTTCATATAAGACTGTACATAAATCACAGACCACTCACATCCTGGTTTGTAGCTGCACACACTGGCAAGTGGAATCACTCAGTGTGATCACAGCAGCATGGATAATTGTGCTACTCTTCCACCTTTAAGCTAAAATGATGAAGAATGTAAGCTTAATACTCAACATCAGTGCAGGAGATAAGATTATCAGAAATAAAGTCTAATGCCTATTCGGCAATTGCTCTACTTTTGTGGAATTTGTTCCATATTAAAATTTGGCAAGTTCCTCAATGCTGCCTGGCCTGCTCAGGCCAATAGGGTCGCATGTGGCTGCGATTCTGTGGGTCTGGTACATCTTTTGCTGTTTATCCCACCTTGGTCTGAGGGTCGGACTGGTGCTTTGGTCTTCTGAGGTATTTTTGCCCAGGGGAGGGAGTCTCTGGGAAGTACCTTGAAGAGGACCTTGAAATTCTCAGCTTGGGGTCAGCAGTGCCAGGCTGGATGGTGCTTCTGTTACCAGAATATCTGCCTTATTCTCATGGAGCCATGTTGGGCCATCCTCTGGACTCCACTGGCTCCTTCTCTCAGACTTAGAAACTGGCACCTTTGCCACTTAGCCCGTTACATCTTGTTCCCCTGTTGGGCAATGGGGGTAGGCCTGACTTTCTCCCCTGAACTGCTGAGTGCTTAAGGGCAGGTACAGCCTGAGGTGAGGCCTGGCTGCTGCTTCAAGAGCCTGGCATAAGCATGGTGTATTTGGTTGCATGTTTGTTTTTGCTGAATGCATGGTTTGGTGTGACCAAGAAGTAAGTGGGGGTGAATGTATGCCTTGGCCTAGGAGAGGAGAGTGGGCAGCAGTCCTAGATGGAAATGAGAAGGCAGGCTGGAACATCAAGAAATGAGAGGGAGATATGGCAAGATCTTGGGGACAGGTTGCTTCTGGGAACAGTTGGTTTGTTGGCTGAGAGTGATACCACTGTCTAGCTCACCGGATCTTCCCATGGGGCCCGATTACCAGATCCTCCGTGGCCCTGAACTCCAGCTGCTGCTGCTGCTGTTGAATACCAGGCCAGTCTGTACAGGTAGTCCTCAC